CAGACCTGAAGATCCACAGCAAACATGATGTACTTGTTGTTGTTTTTTTCATTTTTACCTTTTGGCATGGAAACAGCATCTACTTGTTTCAGGTTTTTCATTTGTTTTTCTAATATACCCTGTTGTGACCTGACCCATTATGAAACTCTGTCAGACTGAGTGACACTCGAGCATCAGTTGGAAAAGATACAATTGCATATCTGTTACACAATACTATATTGTTTTGATGTCTGAAAAGAAAATAATCTCATGGTCTTGGTATGCCTTGGAGTGGTATGGTTTAGAGTTGCTACTTGGAACCTCAATTCCCAGGCTTTGAGAAACAGCAGGATTTTTAAATTTCCCATAAAATGAACCAAATTAACTTCAGTAGACAAATAGTGCATGATAAACACTTACAGTACTTAATGTTATTGCAGCTAAATTACGCTGTGGGGCCTGAAAATACTGTCATACACATTTTTGTATGAATTCTTTTTATCATACAGCATCTCAATTAGGTTTTTCTTTTTAATTCACAGCAATAATCATTTGATACCTTCCATTTACATTGTCTGAATAATATTGTCTTAATTCACTCAGCTTTGTAAACAAGTTACTGTAGGTAGGAAGCCAGTATCAATTAGGAACAGATTTGAGCAAGCCACAGTTTTTAAAGAATGGATAACTCCAAGATATCAAGTGAAATAGAGAAAATTCACTCTATACCCATTATATATTCTTTACATTCCTCAAGGACTATTTTATCCACATGGCAATTTAGCAAATAATAGTAAAGATTTAGTGCTCCGTTTGCATGTTAATTTTCAGAACATTAAAATCATGATCTGTCTCAAGGTTTCCAGGGATTATGGGGCCAGGGTGGCAATCCTATGTTGGCTGGACAATTTTAATAAGACATATACTTTAAAAAAAAAAAAAAAAAATTGTAACAGTTTTCATATTCATCACCAAAAGGTATTGTCAAAAATTTGCAGGCTTGCTCCTCTTTGATATTCTGCACTACATACCATGCAACACTATAGTAAACACTTCGTGATAGGGACTGCATAAAACTGTATTTAATATGAAAAATAATGCAATAGACAGCAGCAAACTCACCTAAATGAACCCTTACAACTCCTTTATACACACAATGTATATTTTGTATTTTTTTTTTAATCAACTTTCCTTTAATACTGCATGTTCTTCCCCCTGAGGCACAGAATGTACCAGACTTTCAGCCCTGATCTTGAGGATGGTCGTTCTGTTTTGTTTAGTCTCTTTCTTGTATTACAGTTCATGTTGTGTTAATTAAGAGCATGCTCTGATCTGCCTGGGGAACGGATAATAAACAATCTAAATGTGGGTGCAATAAAGAAACTTTGGCATTTGCTTTGTTAAGAAATGTGAGGCTAAGCTCTCTACTGAATCTGTATCTCATCTTGCATTACATGGAAAAAGGCTGATACACAAAGCAAATCTCCCCTGAGACTTTACCTTGCCAGTAACGGAATCCAGTTAAAGAAAGGGAAGGGGTAAGAGACAGATAGAACAGAATACTGCAATGGAGAATAAAATAAATACAGTATGTTTTTCGGATTTAGAACAGAAGAAGAACAGTAAAGGGAAAAGCATCAGAAATAATAATGGGAAACTTTTAGATGATGAAAGGGAAATGGCTAAAGCATGAAATGATCATCGTATCCCAGTGATGTTATTCATAGGCCATTAATAAAAATGTTTCCCACAATAAATCAAGGTAGAATAATACTTATAAACTGGAAAGTGTCCTAATTCTCTAGACATCCATAAAATGCCAACTATAAAAAGACACAATTACTTACAGACCAATAAGTCTTAGTCATATTATATTGGTTCTGCTACAACATGATGATTGTATTCATTATCAATAGAAGCCATTGAGTCAGGGGGCGTTAATAGATTAGGATGTATGTGGCATGAAGGCCGTGATGGTCATTATCAGATAAAAATTTCTAGAAAACTTTTACATTCTGTCATGGTCCTAGGTTGGCCGTGTTTGTTTTTTTCTGATTGGTTAATTGGATTAATCTTGGTAGAAGACGCTTCCTGTTTTATTGGATGTTGAGCTGCTGGCCCCGCCTCTCATCTCAAAATAAATTCCAGTTTCCTCCATCTTGACAGTGAACTTGTATCTCACTTTGACAACCATTTAGAAGCGGCGTTTCTCGCTGTCTCTGTCTCTGTCTCTCTCTCAGACTTGTGTGGAGTTTGAGTTCTTTTGCTCACTTATGTATAGTCTGCATTAATTGTGTCCGTGAGTGTGGACTTTCATTAGGCGACGTGTTTCTATGGTCTGTCCTTCTGTTAGTCAGTTTAGTGGTGTCCCTCTATTGGAATTTATGCGAGAAAGTTTAGGTTAGAACACTGAGTTTAGGTTCCGTTATGGCAGGGTAGTTAGTTTTGTTTGTTTTCTTTTCTTTTGAGGGACTCACTATTGTATTGTTTTGGTATACATGACAGAAACGAACCAATACCTGTGTCACCCCCAGTTGTTCTGTCGCCCTATATAGGTCCCCAGGAAACAGGTCCCAGTGTTTAAATTGACTACTGTTATTCTTTAACGTTTAATGTTCATGGCTCCTTCGTCCCCCGGTGACTAAGTGAGAAAAAAATAAGGTGGGGTCATAACAATTCTTTCTCATAGCTATGTTCTAGTGTACCAACAACATTCACAAAGGTTTCGTAGTGTGGTAGGTTTTATTAGTGGAGTGATTATCATGATAAAAGAATTTAAAAATGTATTCCGTAACACAATGTAACTACAGTATGTCCCGTAGTCTTAGCGGAAGGAAAACAATTGTGGTGAGTAAGGGCAGAAAGAGTCTAACTGCATTCTGTTTACTAAAGATCAGAGAAAACGACTTTAAACCAGTATAGTAAAATATAGCTGATAAACTACACAAAAGAAATATGAAGAGGGGAGAAGACAAAACATGAAAAATACAAAGCTGCTTTATATCCAGGCTGATTTCTTGTTCTAGAATGTACTTTCCCTAAAGCATAAAATGGGTTCTATTCAATTCATGTTCTAGAAAAGCACACTGAGCTTATGTAAGTTTGTGAAAAAAATTAAAACAAACCTAGAAGGACATCCAAATGGAAACAGAATTGTATATGTATGATAATCAGATTGTATATGTTATGATATGGTATATTCAGAATTAAACATATTTTGACAAAGTTTCTCATAAAAGTGTAAATTGCAGATGATAGGTATTCAACGTAATGCATGCATACTGCATGTTTTTCAAAATCTGAAGTATAAGGATTTTGTATATTGATTAATTTTTTGGCATCACTTTAATTAAAAGATCATTCATGATTGACAATGACAAAGTTTTGCAGGAGCAAAAGTCAACTGCATCTAAGTCAACTGATTAGTGAGGTAATTGGGCACAGGTGATGAAATTATTTTTCCTGTTGAATGTCGAGCCTTGTGAAAATCAATAAAGGAAAGCACCAAAAGGAACCACTTATCCCACTGTCCCATTTATCGAGAGAAAGTGCTTTTGTGCCATCAGTATATTGCACAGTTGCCCAATGTCTGGGCTGTTCAAAGCCCATTTTTTCTTAAAGCGCTAGATGTTACTGACAAATACTGTTAAGGATAGACTATGATCTGAGACTACTCAATCATGATGCCACACAGAGATCGATGGGCGGGCCCATATGTGACAGTCTGGGCAGTGGTATCTATTATAATGATGGATGGCAGCCTGTACAATACACAAATACAACCTCATTTAGAATATTGTGTATAATTTGATCCTTGGTTCAAGATATTGGTGCTCTGGAATCATATCATAGGAGAGTGGCCAGGTATATTCCCAAGCTTAAAAGAATGCACTACTCTAAGAAACAGAAAGAACTCAAAGTGAAGGAAAACTGAGACCAACACTCTTGGAAGAATAAACCCAGTATTGTTGTTGAAGCACTCATATTTACCTGCATCTGGCTCACTTGGTCAGGTTCAATTGTGCAAACCTAAATTGAGTGCAAAAGAGCTGACAATCTTAGATGAAAAAGCTCTAATGAAAACCATGGCTGTTGGGTTGAGGTGTTGTATGCGGACCAGTAGGTGGTACCCTTCACCATGGAATAAAAATCCCAAACCCAAGATCTTGTATGCATCCAATACAGTACATGCATCAATAGTGTTCTTTTCATGTTTGGATGTTTTATACACTAACATTCAGTATAATCACTTAGTGCAGCACATAAGACCATATATGTAACAGGCTGGACTTTCTCCTATATAAAGTCCACAGTCAAATGTACAGTAAATCAACTCTGAATGCAATGAAAGACATTAGATTCATAATGGCCATTTATTTAGACAAAAAAAAATTGTATTCACAAAACATTAAAAGAGAGTAGGAGGCACAATTCTGCAAAAAACTCATGTACCATTTAGTGCATGTTAGACTTCAACCAGATACTTAACAACACTAAGAAAACATCACTGCAGTAAACCATTATTTAAGGATGAAAGAAGTCCCATATTTTAGTCTCATACAGTAAGAAAGAAATATCTTCAACCTACAATGAATATTTCTGATAGAAGGACTTTAGTGAACTGCTTCCTAAAATTACCTAATCAAAATACCAAAAATGAATAATAATTAAAAATATATCATAGACATTTGTGCTCTTGCAATGAAGATTCCTGATTCTATTTCTGAATATCATAAATGCTGATTAGTTTAATCTCCATATTTATAAAACATGCACTTCAATAACAAGCATTCATACTGTATTAATAGTTGGTGAATGCATTTTCTCTGGGACAAGTTTCTTTTCTTTGAAATGAATGATTGGAAACGCTAACTGATGGAATGGACTTCAGCTTAGTAACAGGAGTTTTCCTCGTGTTGGTGTACAGTTGCCTTTCTGTTCAGCACATTCTAGGCGATAAAAACTACTGAAATCATGAGATGCCAATGATGAAAAAAGAGAGAAACGCAAAACACACTCACCTTCGGGCTCACCACACAGTGTACACTGTGATTCTACAAATAAGAACCAAAAGAAAAAATATCATTACTATCTTCTAACTTCATTAACAACACAGATAATAATAAAAGGATTCAGAAGAACAGTCATAGAAGAAATTCATAGTTAATAAATCATGAAGCAGTGTGTGATGGTATTTGCATCTATAATACATTTAAACATTCCAGAATCAAACTGTTTAAGCTCAACATTAACATGAGAATTCCATGTGAATAATACCATGTGCGATATAAACCAGTTTGACATTTGTTTTCCCTGTTGAGGCTTACTTTTCTGTATTCAGAGCAGTATGACAAATGTCAGGTGACTTGCCATTGTAGATGCCCATATGGTTCTGTTCCCTTCCATATTGGCATATTCAACCTATAATACCTTTACTTTTTGAGTAATTCATACATTTGATATACAATTTCTGTTTTAACCAAAGAAAATAACGTTCTTTCATAATGCCAAATTATGAGCTGGATTACACTGGCTCATATAGTATCTTATATATATCTTTAAGGATTTCAGATCTAAGGATTAGGTATATCATTGTTTATTTTTGTCACCATCCTGGTGTTTAATGGATATGTATTTCTGCAAAGAAGTTATTACAATAGTCAATTATACCTTTCATGTAACTATGTTTGTATAAAATAATGACATGTATGAGTATTTCCCATTTTTCACACCTTTTATAAACTGAAGATAACAGACATAGAGAAACATATGGTGATATGTTTGTCTCACACTCTGTACCAACAAGGGCTAAATTGTCCCATGTCAAAAAATAAACCAAAGACTGAGTTTAGCAAAATCAGTTTGATTAGTGCTTACTTTTAAATATTTTAAAAAGTACCACTTCTTAATTATAATGTAGAATTTCATATAGTTTGAATAAAATGTTGGAATGTTTATAAGGTGATGACCTTCAAACTAAATATTGTATACAGTATATTCTGCTAAAATATACTGAATGTGTCAGTTCCTGCGGTGACTGTGAAGACCTTAAAAAGCAAACTTGATTCATTTCATGGAGACATTCTTATCTCCATGCCACAATCATCATCATCAGCACAATTACTGAACACTTTTTTCCCCTTTACTCAGAGATCTTACTATTCACGATAAATGTGCAAGTCAGCTGGGCTATCCAAATCTCATTTAACATTTCATAGCTCTGTGGTAACATAGCCATTGTAACAAGTCATATCAAAAGAAATACCCTCCAAGGAGTGTTTGTGAACAATACACACGTATGCATGCAGACGTTTTCAAATAATTTGGAGTACATTTCAGTGTCCATTGACTTCAAAACATCAACATAAATCAGGACATTGTTTGTAACTAGAGTGTAATTTACAATTGATTTTAACAAACCGTGGCTTTGGTTTATCTTCCCTTATATACTCAGTCGATGGTATTAAATCTTTGGTCATTTAATGCCACAAAAAGAAGTTAACATCTTGGAAATTCTACAGTTGGCACAAAAAATTATTTGCTGTTTGCAGGTGTATTGTTAATATGATTATTAGTCTTGATAGAGGTTGTGGGCACAAACAAAACGTTTATCAAGAGGGGATTAAGACCTCCCCTCATATACTGTTAAAAAGTTCACAGTTTGTTTTCCTTCATTATTACTGTATATTGACTCCAATGTAATCTGTACTTAACATACCGAGAATACAGTATGAAGAGCAAAATCGAACTGTTCAACAGCAATTTACTTTATTGGTTATTTGCCGCCATTAAAGCAATACTATCAATTTTTTGGTGATATTTAAATTTACTGTCAAGAGCTGAAACATTTTCTAAAAATAATCCCTAAAGCATGGAATTGTTTATGAAGACAAACATAATTTATTCATGATCTGCACCCACAATAAAAACTTAAGGAACTTATCTATGATTAAGCTGTCATGGCTTCTATATGTGAGTATGTTCTCTCCATAAAAATGGTGTGTCCAGTTGCTAGGTAACGCATAAGATCAGGTATTCAATCATAAGGGTAATTTGTTATTTTGCACTTACTACATCTAGACTGCAGGTTGCAAAATGGGTTTAACACTTTCTGTTTGATCTAATGGATTGGACAATAAAAATAATATTGTCAAACTGTAAGAGAAATTCACGTAGGTAAAGTTTTACTTCAGTACACGGTTTCTGGTGTCCTACAGTTAATCATTGTTAATATGTTAACCTTAAAAGAGTATTTCCAAAATGATCAATTCTTGTGTAAAGACAAAAGAAACCCAGAAGCAGAAAATAGGAACATTACAGTATATTTAATACTGTATGTATGAAAGGTCTCAGTTTTATTTAAGGACAGTACACTGCACATCTGCATTCTAACGGCCGGTTATTTCACAGCTGGGTAGCCCAAAAATCAGTGTACATTTGTTTCAGTACATTTGTTCAGGAATAATCAAGAATGCTTATTCTTACAGAATAGCTGTAGAATGAAATGACGAGGTTATACATCTATGATTAGTTATACATCTATACATCTATGATACATCTATGCAATTAAATTTTTATATACTGTACCAATGTATAAAATGCATAAAAGGGGCTGGAAGAGAAAAAAAAATAAAACAAAAAGGGCAGCTGTTTATATTTAATCTCATGGAGTTTAACACAAAAGTTCGAGAGGAGGTCACACTCTTCCGCCTACCTATGTACAGTGAGGATATCATTATCATCATCTGTTCTTGATGATCATTTCTGTGTTTACCCCAATAAAGCTCACTATTTGAATCACATCTCTTCTCTTTCTCAGTTAAGGTTTGTCAGAACTACTGAACATACCGTACTAAATAGTGTGTACAATACACAAATATGGTTTCTTTAAATCAATAAGCACAGAAATAAGTATCATTTCTGATGTGTACGATTAAGATATTAATCTGACTTTTTAAAACATTTGCACTTCACAATTAACATTTTAAAATATACTACACCATTTGTTTGAAATTACAAATCACAGTGGACATAAATGTTAAATAGAATGTGAAATCGCTATTTTAGATCAACAGTATCTTTTAGTATTCCTTGATCTGATGATATACCTTTTCTTTCAGAGTAGACAGCCATATGTCTCTTCTACCATACCCAAGTAAATCTTGTTATTTCACCTCTGTGACCTAAGTGCAGCACTGTAGTGTTGTAATTCATGCAACAAGCTTATGTGTTCTGCCTCTGGTGCTTTGATGCTGTTTATTTTGGAAAATTATCTTATGGTCCATTGTATTAGAACTCCCTACATGTGCAGACCCAGAAGATTTTCTCTTGTAATAAGAAAAACAAATGGATGGCGAAGAAGTAAATAGTACAGTGTGTTCATTTGCTAACGTAGTGTATGAGATCATTGTCTCTGTTTCTGGTTTCCTCCTACTTTCACTCAAAATCTCTTAAAATCCACCTGTCCATCCTTACTACTTCAGCTACATCATCCTTAGCAGGCTCACAGTGAGCAGAATACAAACCTGGCAGATACAGGGTGCAAGAAGCAACAGTCTGCATAGGATGCCCTTCCATTGCCAGACATGTACACAGATAAGGAGGCTAACGAGTTAGCTTACTAAAACATCTCTTTGGAATGTAAGAGGAAACCAGAGACAGAGACAATGATCTCATACAATTCACAATTTACAGTATGTAATACAGACAAATCTGGTGATTTGTTTGACACCATCATAAGGTCCAGTATTTCAAGTTTTAAATTACGTCCAAAGTACGTTTTTGCGCAAAGAGTTTGGGGTGCTTGGATCTGGTCAGGAGGCTCTTTCAGGAAACAGCCAGATGAAATATTGATGCGTTTCTGAACTAACAAGCTACAGTAACTGTCACGATTATAGTCCCCCCTACTTAAGGGTGCTCCAGCCCTTTCACTTTAGACTTAATTCTGTGCACCTGACCCCTTTTCCCAGCCCACCTTAAAAGCCAGGAGCTGACGTTCATCCTGGCTTCATCTGGTTTCCACACCGTGCGAGTCCGGCACCTGGAAGCGCCTGGTCCCGTTAAGGTTTTAATCTCTGTTCCCGTTCCCTGTCCACCGGTTCTGACCCGGTTCATGGTTTTAATTCCTTGTTTGGATGGATCACCTTGCTATGGACTTATTCTTGTGTTTTTGGATTCCCTCTATGGATTACTTCTGGATTGTTTGCCTCGGCCACACCTCCCCCGTGCACCAGCGCACTTTGGACACGCCCCCCTGTTTTCAGCCTCGTATCCCTGCATGACCTTTTCCTAGTGTTTCCCACTTCTTTGGATTGTGTCGTCCACATAGGGTCCGGAAAGAACAGTTCGTTACACAAACGTGAAGGATGCAGCTCTAAGTCCACTTGGATTCAATCATGGAGGCCAGTGGGTTCAGTACACAGAGCCGATCCTAGTCTCCAGCTGAGCAACAGGTTTTCCTGCCGCAGGAGATTTCTACACTGTCTAGATTTCAAGGGACACATCACCTTTTGTAAAAGCCTCACACACATTTAGTTCTGTTACACAAGGAAGATAGCCTAGATGGCCTCTTTTCAATTGCACCTGAAAGTGAAACTTGATTGTTAATTTCAGTAATGAAAAAGCCGGGGCCATTGGCCATACAGCATGCTTATTCTGTCTGGAAGTATTATATAGTAGATAGTATGATAGTATTATAGCTTCATGGGTGTAATATAATAAGTTGTTATTGTAAATATAAAAGGGAATACAGTTACAAACACAGCTACATCATTTTTAGCTTGCACTCACAGTGTTACTGGTATATTTTACAACCCAGGACTTTGTTTTGAGTTGTGCTCTTTGTAATAGTCAATCAGAGCACTTCCACTTTCAATTGAATTATTAATTTGTTACCATGCTCCAGGATGTAGAGGTAATTTAAAAACTTTATTTGAAAAAAAAAATACACTCGTAAGTTCTGCCAGATATTCAAAATGCACTTTTGTCTGAGGTTAAACAGTATAATGTACTGTTTGCCCTGGTCCTAACAATTACAGCATCTTTAGTTTACAGT